TGTATTATTAGAGAAAAGAAATATACTTAAATTTAAAATATAATATAATAATGTTATCTAAACCAAATATAATTGAATAAATGGGCTTTAAACAAGTTAGCTCAGTTTGTTAGGCCTTTTTAATCAGGTCAGACTCATGTCATACTGGGTGTTTTTTAATCAAGCCAGACTAGTGTTGTGCCACAGCTTTTTTAAATCAGGCAATACTTATGTCATGCTCGGGTTAGTCCAGTCTATTTGATACCTTTACTCCAATTCTAGGCTTTCTCTCTTCTTTGGCTTGACAATATGACAGCGATGGGCCTTCCATGGATCACTCTCTCCCTTTCAATTCTAATCTCATGACAGAAAGATCAAGAATAGCTCATTCACTCCCAAACTTATGCAGCATGAACGCATAGTGCAACTCTTTCTTAATCAGAAAAATACCTCATGAGAAATATTATTTTATATTTGAAAAAAAAAAAAAAAAAACTTATAGAATTCAAATGTGGGGAGGTACATGGCAGCTTCGAGATGGACGCCCTAGATGCATTCTCAACTATCAATTCAAAGGCCTAGATCAAATCAAAAGTCTTTGATTTTATCAACAGTTCAAATCTGATCTAGAATAAGATGAATGGTACAAATGAAGCAAGCTCACGGAATAATATTATAGACACTCGTCAAAGACTTCATCAAATGATTGATATTATACCAGCCAATCATGCGATGACACATGACGGTGTGATGTGTTCCAACCAATTAGAAAATGTGACGTGTCAATTCTATTTTAATTTTCCTATTTTTCAACTTCGAAATTTCACCAAAAATATCTCCAAGTTCTGAAATTTCACCAAAAATATCTCCACGTGTCATCACATGCAAGGGTGGAACCAGAAATTTTTCGACGGGAGGGCTAGCTAAAATTGTTAGCTCCTAATATAATGTTTTTTTTTTCTACTTACAATTTCTTTTTCTTTTTTTCTAAAAATAAAAGTACACAATGAGGGCATGTTTGATATACCGTATTAGACTCTGGATATGAGTAAATAATTCATGTCAGTTGTTTGTGTGTCAACTTGTATTATTTAATTACCTGACTATATTAAACGGATTGGGCTTTTAATACTATCCTTACCTGACTAACTAATACAACCCAGACACACCAGTTTAGATAATACACGCTTAATTATAAGGCTAAGGAAAAAGAAAGCACGCTTTGTACGCTATTTTCATTGCGTCTTCTCCTTAGGGTTTTTCTTTGCTATCTTCTCTTCTCCATATATTCATCTCTCCCTCTCTCTCATAGTCTCTCCAATATGCTTCTTCTTTCTTCTTTTGTCTTCATCTTCTCTTTCTTTATATATTAAATTTTTGTGAAAAGGTTATGTGTTTTTCTTCAAAATTCATATTGAGTTTTTCTTCAATATCCATGTCGTTGCACTGGTTTGTTTGTTTGTTTTTTTTGTTTTTTTTTTGTTTTGGGTCAGAAACTGGGATTTCAATTAAGGGAAAAGGCAGAGACGCCATTCCCAAAAAAAAATATAGCTATAGAGAAGTCCAAACATAATGGGACAACAAAAAGCAAACTAAAACATTAGATCAAAGGTTTGGGAGGAGAGAGAGGTAGGACGCAGCCAAACAGCAACAAATGTGTTAGTTCAAGTAATCTTGTCTTATAGATCTTGGCAAAATAATAATAATAATAATAATAATAATAAAGGTCATATGAATCTTTCCAAACAATAAAAAAAAAAAAAATAAATAGTTTGACGGAGCACCAAACACAGTATAACTTAGTCAGACTATTTATTCAAAACACCACCAAACATCTTATAATTTTATGAATAAACAGTCAGTCCTATCTGGAACAGAGTAATACTATTCGACAAAAATTAGTCAGTATAGTCCAATGTACCAAACGAGTCCTAAATTATATAAACAACGCTAGTTCGTAACTCCATTGACTAATTTCCAATGACTATATGTTCAACAAAATAATATTTCCCTACTAATACGTTGTAGTTTTTTCCTTCTTCCTTTTTCGTTATTTAAAATTTTAATTTTTTGCAATGACAAACACAAAATGAATAACAGAGACAAACAACAAAAGGGAATGTCTAGACTAGGCAAATAGAGATTCATGCAATCAATATAATACAAATACATGATGATGCTTGAAGCCTATATATATATAAGAGACCAACAAAGAAAATCTAAATCCTAAAAACATAATGTGCGTAAGAAGAGTATTTCATTGAAGAAATCATTATAGTGTATCTTACATGTTAAGGCTCATTATTGCAATATCATCCTACAAGTACATTTGTAAAATAATCAGTCAGATCCTTGAGGTAAACCATTTTAGGTTTTTCCAAGAAAAAGTGTGGAGCTTACCTACATATAAGAGATTGAAAAAGAAAACCTAATCTATATAGGTATAGGTATATATATGTAATTATATTTTAATATAAAAAGCTACCTGAGCTACCATGGACCTCCCCACATTTGGTTAAAAACTCATCTTTTGATATGAGCATTTGAATTAAATATTCAAATTAATCTGAGCCGTTGGGGAATTCTATAAATACCTCTCTTCTCCTCCATTTTTCTTCACACCAAAACCTTCAAACCATTACTCCTTCTCCTCCACCAAAATCACTATTACAACGTTCTTTGGGGCACTATTCATCTAAGTTACTACTCACAAACACTATTTATTCGATTTCACTATTAACTTCCCTAAACTAGTAGCAACCGTTCCCTATTCATTATGGGAAGTTACTATTCACATTGGGTTTCATTATACATCACTCCTCCAACCGAGGTAATCTCTATACCTTATCTCGTTTTTTATTTACTTTAATTATGTATTCCTATTTCTAAAGCATTATTCTGCCCAATTTAAATTGTCACACTTAAATTAATTTTATTTTCTGAATGATTAATTTTCTCAGATATTTCTAAAAATTGGATCTCTATGCCATTACACTGCCCGTTTGAATTCTAATCAAACTTAAGAATCTTATGGCCATATATTATCCCGATTTCCTTGGACTATAATATCCGGTTGGAGGAGTGGTGAATAGTGCCCATAAAGAGTAACTTCCCGAAATGAATAGGGAACAACACCTACTAGCTTAGGGAAGTGAAGAGTGAAATCAAATGAATAGTGTATGTGAATAGTAACTCGGATGAAAAGTGACCTGAAGAAGGTTGGAATAGTAATTTTGTTGGAGGAGACGAAGTAATGGTTTGAAGGTTTTGGTTTTAAGAAAAATGGAGAAGGGAGGTATTTATAAAATTCCCTGACATCTCGGATGGATTTGAATATTTAATTCAAAGGCTTAGATCAAAAGACGAATTTTGAACCAAATGTGGAGAGGCCTGTGGCAGCTTCAAGATGGATGGCCCAGAAGCATTCCCAACTACCATGGACCTCGACGTATTTGGTTCCAAACTCATCTTTTGATATGAGCCTTTGAATTAAAATATTTACAAATTTATAAATAAACCCAATCCTATACATGTATTTATAAAAAAACTTAAACATTATTTAAACATAGAAACACACCCAAAATCAACCCCAAAATCAACAATTGTATATTTTTTGAGTGTGTTTATAAATGAGTTTTGAGTGTGTGTAATGATGGGTTTTGGGTGTGTTTATAAAGTGTTTTGAGTGTTGGGTTTTTTTATAATTTCAGCCCCCATTTTGAGTGTTTTTATGAAACTCCCGTTGCTATTCATGGGAGACTATTCACATCGAATTTCACTATTCCTTTTTTATTTTGTCTAAAAGTTGGGTTTCACTATCTCTATTTTCTTATCTTGATTTTCATTCGCTTTAATTTCGTATTCCTGTTTCTCAAGGGAGAAGGAACTGCGTGAAGATTGCAACTACAGCAGATATGTTTCTTAGAAAAATAGCGTTTTTCGCCCTTCCTATTCCCAAATAAGATTTGTATCCAAGGGTGAGGATCTTGCAAGTTCTTTATAACCATTACAAATAGTTTTGCTATACAATGCACAACACAAGCAAACAACGTCAAACTTGTAAGTCCATGCCATGCATCCGTCATGGACTAGATTTATAATCAAAACTAAGATATGAGGCTTCAATTATTTGAGTCAATATCCATGCCGTTTACGGATTTGCTCATTCTAAAATCAACCACAGCCTTGTCAAAAGTGCTCCTCACGTGTTGGCAAATCACCATGAGATCCTGGCATGAATCGTTGAATACATCTTTTGCTGCATCACCTGTAAAATTTCATGAAACATCCAGGTTTTATAACTACATGACAAAAACTAAGGAAGTTAGTATAAATTTTGATTTATATAACTACTTGCCATTAGAGACGAAGGCTACATTTCGGTAAATTGGAAGGGATCGAACCCCTAACGTATCCTAGTCATAAACCTTCTTCCCCACTCCCCCATCTCATCACCATTCACAACCAGGGCTAGCCCCAAGGTTAGATGACCAAAGCAGGACACTTTGATGCATTAGTTACCAAAGTAGAACTTTTGATGGGTCCATATAAATTATTCTTGAGATTAAAATAGGTCTCTTCACATACATGCTCAAGTAAAAATTCCATTAGAAGTATCAGAGAGCCCACAATTCTGTAGTGTACCAATTAAGCAGCTGTTTCTCTTGGCATCTAAAGTTGCTCCTATCAATTACTTGTTTCAGACTCCAAAACTTTGCTCCAATTAAGAGATAAAGTTTAAGCAAAGTATCAAATACACAACTGGAATATTTTGGAGGTATGACCAACTGAATAGAAAATATTGTTGTCATATTGACAATGTAAGCAAAAATCATCAGTATCAGATCTCTACCATAAAAAAATAAATAACCAACCAAAAATAAGCTCAAGGCTGCAATCATGGGAAACATAGTTGACAGAAAGAAGAAAATTATACTAGTTCATATACATTGCTTACGGCAAGGCATTTTACCTGTTGTCTGGATTCTGATATTAACTCGGTTATCCGATGGATGAGGAATGCTGTACCCACAAAATTTTGTTCTTGGACTGCAACATAACATTACAACTTGTTTAGGATATCATCATTAAACTGTTAGATCAAAGTTATAGGAGAAGCAGATTATTGATGCATAGCAACAGTAAAAAATTTACTAAAAGTACTTATAAAACAAGTAGAAAGCACTTACTCCTGATTCAAAGTGAACCTGGCGGCATTTGCAAATGTATGATCCTCATCAACCAAAGAAAATGTAGATTGGCTGGGATCAGTTAAGGACCCATGTTCCATTTCTTACAAAATCCTGCCTACCAAGAAAAAAGAACAAATTTAAAAAGAAGTAATTAAAAAAAATCCAGATTACACTATTTAACAGTAACATTCTAAATGAGACTAACATGCATTGAACACTCTCCAACCTTGAAATTTTCACAGAATTTTTCCTCCAAAGAAATATCAAATCCTAAAGGTTTTTAAGCAATTTTATTGTAGATGTCTGGAAAATATAAAATTATCAACTTGGAAGTAACCTGGTAGACAGTAAAAGAACTACTTCAGAAATATGCAAAATCAAAATGCCTTACCGAGGGAAAATAGTTGATACTGCTTGTCTCTCTCTCTCTCTCTCTCTCTCTCTCTCTCTGCAAAGGCGCGAGCGTTTAGGGTTTATGGTTTTGGTTGCGGATTTATCGAATTTTTGAAGATACCAATATTGCCCTCATTTTGTAAAATGACATTTTTGCCCTCCACCTTACTCATTCTCCTTGCGCCCGTTCTTCAAACTCAAACCTTGCGTTTTGGGTTCTCTCCACTGTCCACTGCAGCTTGTTTCTATCAAACGAAAACCTGATCTTTACTCCCTCGCCTACCTACAGGTACCATTCTCTCTGTACTCAAATACCTTCCTTTTCCGTTTACTTTTTTTTCTTTCAAAATTTAAATATTAAGTTAGGGTTTTATGTGTAGAATTTTTCTTTCCTGCATTTTCTATCTTGTATCATTTTCATGATTTGGGCATTGTCATGATTTAGGGCGAATATATACTTATGGGTTTAGGATGATTTTTTGCTCTATGCATTTTCATGGTGTAGGGCTTTAGTATAACTGTAAGGCTTCTTGGTACAAATGGAGATAAGGAAATATGGTTGATTTTTTTTATAGAAAAAAGTCTCGCAATTTGATGATAACAGGAACTGAGAGACATATCTTGAACTTAGTTTGATTTTAGTGTTATTGGTCTGAGTTTGAGTTGGCAAATTAACCATCCCAATCAAATTCGAGATGAACTCGATTAGGGGTTCAACGTGCCTAAGTTCTTTTTTTGTTGGTTGACAAAAATTCTGAGCCCTCACGTTAAAACCTTTAATCCAAAAATTTATGTTCCTTAATCACATTCATGCTTGTAGCTCTGACTGCAAGTATAATGAAGAAGCAACATGTAGCAATGTTGTATTTGATACTTTATAAAATTTTAAGCACTTAGAAAAAAGTTCTCAGTAAGAGGCTGAAAATTTATGCACTCACTGTGTACTTTTTCCAGTCATAAATCTCTGCTTAGAGTTCAGTTTTTGCCCCGTACATGACAGCGAGAGCATGGTTTCAGTTGCCATGTGAACGATAGAAATGGGCCACCAATTTTTGTGGTAATCTTTTACTCAGATATGCAGGTGAAATTAACCAGGCATGCTCTTGAATATCCAAGTGAAATTACAATACAATTATCCCACTCAAAGTTGTAACTTTAATCTCACTAAAACAAAATATGTGTATTGTCAACTTAACGCCAATTCAAAAAATCACCCAAAGTATTTAATAATTTAAGACACTTCATTTTTGCCCCTAATGAGATTTCTGCCCAGGCAATGTAACTGGTCTAAAATTTCAATCTTAACAGTGTCACCATGTATTGAATATGGAATGTGAGAGAAGCCCAAAGTAATACCATGCACCTATCAAAGTAAATTAACAATCTCTTCAATATTTTGTACCAAATCTGGTCCTTGATTTACTGTCTTCCTAGTTTGCAAGGTTTTGGATTTGAGTATGCTAGATTTACACTTCGGGGAGCTGAATTCAGTGTTGTTGTGTGTGTGTTCAATTCTTCTAGATATGTATGCACACATGCATTTGTTTATACACGTTAATTTGAACAATTCTATTCAACAGAAGATGGCATGGAGGCAAATTCTATTCAACTCAAGAGCAATTTTGGGACCATATTTAGCAACCGGATCCGCCAGATTCTCCACAAAATCAAACCCATACCTAGGTAAGTAAAGATTTTGATTTTAGGCTTTAATACGCAATTATTGATCCTTCCACTTGTCATTGGTTCCCAAGAAAATGATAGAAAATAAGATTTCTGGGTTTCATGAATTTGTGATTTCCTTTTCTTCAAAATTAGAAGATACACTTTTTATTTGGTTAAGTAGCTATGTGACATTAGAGGTTGTGTTTGGATGCTTTAAAAATGAAACAAGATGAAAGAAATGGGAACATAAAGTTTGGGTTTTGTTAATGCTCTATATTTAGGTTTTGATAGAAATGAGACTTTGTTGGTTACTTCACCAAAATCAATAAAGAAGAATGGCCCAAGAAGTGTTGTTATGCTTCTGTTGGCTCACCACTCAGTTGCTGAAAAAGTTGGGGATACAAAAGGGAGGCAGGTGAAATCTTGGGTTTTGTAAGGTCATGTTTCTTGTTTATTTAACTGTCGATTTAATGAGTAATTTTTCTATTACTGAACATCACACTTGGGTTCTGTTTTGTTCCTTTTCTTTTCAATTAAAAAAAGTTGTGCTAAGAGATTGAGAACACTGAAGGGCATGGAAAGTGAAAATTTTTGTGTAAAGCTTAGCCTATAGTTATTGACCAAAAAAAAAAAAAAAAAAAAGCTTAGCCTATAGTTATATGTTGTAGGCTTAAATTCGCAGTCCTTCAAGTGTCAGAATAACAAACTTTTCTTGACGTTTTATTAGAAATTTAGGAGATAAATTTTCGAAAATTGGGTTTAATTCAGTGGAAAACCTTCAAATTGGGGTTTTGTGGTTGTTTTTCTTGCAGTGAAAGTTGGAATACCAGAGTTTTTGAATGGAATTGGCAATGGAGTGGAATCCCATGTGGCCAAGCTTGAAGCTGAGATTGGTGACTTCCAAAAGCTGCTTGTCACTCGTACTCTCAAGCTGAAGAAACTTGGCGTCCCATGCAAACATGTAATCAATCTCTGAGTTGATCACTTACTTTGCAGACGCACACACCCACCGGATATTAACATATTAAAGTTTCTGTTTCTAACATTAATTCTTGCAATTTAGGAATGTATAGCTATACAAAAGCCTTGGAATCAGCTTTATTGTTTCATGTTTTCTTTGGATCCGTCTCAGTAATCCTTCCTTTATGCATTGCTGATGAATGGATGGAAATAATAACCTTATTTCTTCTTTTTTTCCTTAAAAAACGAAAGAAATATGATTCCGAGGATTTTAATGTTGTTTTCTTGGTGGTTTAGAAATTTGATATTGGATTTCTCTTTTTGCAGAGGAAGCTGATCTTGAAATACACCCACAAGTATAGACTGGGACTCTGGAGACCTCTAGCTCCGGCAATCAAATCCTAGTTAGTTTTGGAGTAGTGTGTAGTTTACACAAAGATTTTGTCTGCTGCAAAATGTTACTGGCGGACACTCGATGTACGGAGCTGTGAAAGAAGAGAGTTTTTGTTTTCATGATATTCTAGTCTTTCTTCACCCTTATTTAAGTTTCATCATAAAGTTCAACGGTAGTGTACGATGTACTGCATTTAATTGAGCGCTCTACCTTGGTAGTTTCACCAGAACCCTTGTTTCATATCTTTGGTGTCCAAGTGTTCTGACTTATAGCAAACTGGTTTAGGAAGATTACAAAATCTGTTGGTATTGAAGGGTCAAATGTTTATTGATTTGTTAAACCTCTTATCTATGTGACACTGACAGTAGTTTTTAATTAAATACCAGATTATTTAAAAAATTCTCTGCTCAAGTAATGAACAGTACATATTAGCTTATAAAAATTGGTGAGATTATTAAGTTATAAGTGGCTGCAGACTGGCAACATCTCATCCTTTTCCATAGCATTGTTGCTTCTCTTCCCTAGATTTCGTATTTTCACCAAGTCTTGGTTGCTATCTTGTAAAATCATTGACAATGTCTTATTGGTGATATTGAGCCTCCATATGCTCTTAGGATCCAGTAGCTCTGCATGGTTGAACATTTTTTGTGCCTATCTTCAAGAGTTCAGACTAGCTCGAGTTCAGTTCAACCGGGCTAAGGCGCGATTATGATTTCGGTTACGATGTCCTTATTAATGTCTTGTTCTTTTTTTTATTTTAAATACAAGCGATAGTCTAAACGTATGGTTCTCAAAGTAGAGAATTTAGCCAATTCCTTTTCTTGTTTTTTTGTAATCAAAGTAGACCGCGGTACTCATTGACTTCCAAGGTTTAGTCACATAATTGTGTATTTTATGTAAATCATTAATTGCTTATTTATTTATTTTGCTGGTAAAATCATCAATTGCTTATTAGTTCCATAGTAATTGCATATATTTTAACTGAAAAAAACTCATAACTCCAAAAAGATTTTGTGTTAATCATGCAGGGTAACAGAGCATTAAGACCCCATTGGACAATAATATGCCCAGCATAACTGCTATTAATTCCAAGGGAAATGACAAAGAACTATACAATCCTGTATAAATACATGTTTTTAGATCCCCCTCCAACCATCCCAATCTCCAATTTCTGCTATGGTTATGATGAAGAAGAAACCAGGCCAGGGACGCCAAAAGATTCCAATTGCCAAAATAGCCAAGAGAAGTAATTTACAAGTCACATTCTGTAAACGTCGTTCAGGGCTCTTCAAGAAGGCTAGTGAGCTCTGCACCGTTTGTGGTGTTGAGATTGCAATAGTTGTCTTCTCTCCTGCCAATAAACCCTTCTCCTTTGGCCACCCTCATGTTGAGCCCATCGTTGACCGCTTTCTTTGCACTCCAAAACCTTCCATAGACTCTGATTTCACTTCTCAACAACTACTTGTTGATCAGGCTCAGGGCTACATGAGTGACAGTAGTGTTCATGAGCTTAATATGGTGTTAACTCAGACTCAAAAACATTTGGAGTCTGAGAAAAAGCGAGGACAAGAACTTGACGAGATGAGCAAAGCCGGCCAGGGATCATCGAGACGGTGTTGGTGGGAAAACCCAATTGATGAAATGGGACTGCATGAGATACAGATACTGAAGGCTGCAATGAAGGAGGTCAAGAAGAATGTGATTGAACAAGTGAACAAGATTTTGAAGATCCAGTCTTGTGCTGCTGTCAATTCTCAGTACCACTCTTCAGATGAATGGTAATCACTAATCAAAGTGATGATCATCTATTTGAAAGCAAACCTGCAATCAAATTGGACCTGCTGGTTCTATGATCCCTAGTAGTGCCTATAACTTTGGTTGGCATGGTCTTGTCTGAATTTTCCTTTCTTTTAATGGTATCGTTAGGCTAGCTGGTAGCCTTGCATCTGAGTTCGATCCCCTTTCTTTAGAAATTTAAAATTATGGCTTGTATAAAAACAAATTTTAAAAATTTATATTATTATCATCATTATCATCATCATTAGTATTGATAACGATATCTACTTATTATTGGTCGTTCTCTTTTTCAGTTATGGTTGTAAATGAATTAATAATTACAAGTTTTTAATTTGCAAGCATTTACACTGGCTAGCTAGTAACGTAATATATACAACTATAAAATGGGATTTTCTATAAAATCATAAGATATTATGCCTATAAACAAAAATGAAGAAGAAATAAATTGGAATGAACTTGGCTATGCTCCTGGAAGACAAAAACATAGTTCTTATGTTGTCCAAACATCGGCTGTATTTTGCAAGTCATCACATATTTATTCGTCACATTATATATAGTTTTAGAGCGTAACGGATAATTGCAGGAAATCTTGGCGCCCAAATTGTCAAGCCCGAAAATGTTATTGGGGGAGAGCCCCGAAAGAAAAAGAAAACAATAAAAAATTTCCCCAACCCGTCCCGTCCAAACCTAACCATTGCTTCACTTCCTTCATCTCCCTCTACAGCAGCTCCGGTTCCATCTTCCTCCAACCACCAACCACCGGCTACGGCGACCACTCCTCCTCCTCTCTCTCTCTCCCTTGCTCGTGCTCTCTCTTTTTCTCTCTCAAACACCCACAGGTAGTGTTTTTGAAGTTCTTATTTCTCTGTTCTATTCTTGGTTGTTATTTGATAAATTTTGATTGGGTTTTTTTTTTTTTTTTTTGCTGAATATTTGAGCTAAAATAGAATCCGAAACCTGATCAATTTCTTGTGGGTTTTGCAGTGCTCTGCCTCAATTTGTTTGCTTTGACTGTTTTCCGTTCTGGGTTGAGGTAAATTTCTTTTAAAATCTGCCTCAATATGTTATCTGAACAACGTGGCAAGGCAATGCCTAGGAGTTTTGCCTTTTGTACTTTTGCAATTCTACTCTTCTATGCATCTGGGCAAATTTTATTTTTAATGGCAGTGGTGTAATAGATTTTGGTTTACATACCCAAGTTTTCAATTTGATATATGATAATGTTGAATTGAGTCTATAATCAAATCTGTTTTATGATGATGAAATGAGATGACAAGAAATGATTATGATGATGATGAGGACGAATTGATATGTTGAGAATTGATGACTTGAATGGATGGGAATTGAAAAATAAATTGATGATGAATTGATGAGAATGTTGATGATTTGAATTTGTTTAATAATGAAATTTGTTTTAACAGATTTTTTTATATAATGATGTTGATAATGATGATGTGCATGATATGATAATAATTAGTGAAACAATTATAGCTGGATGATTGGTTAGGATTCATTTTTGGGTTGATAATGATGTGTTAGCTGCTGATTGGTTATAATGTTTGGTGATAATTGAATTTATGGGGTTTTTGTTTGTTTGGTTGGTATCTTTATTTATGATAGGATGGAGGCTAGCCAATCCAATACGCTAAATGCCTCAATTAGTACACCTTCTATTAAACTCGAAACCCAAGCTCAACCCCAAACACAACCTCAAGACCAACAAATAAATTCTGTCAATGTGGGAGAGAAGAGGAAACCCTCAAAATCTGTGGTGTGGTTACATTGCAAGAAAATGATAAAGAAAGATGCTCATGGGGTAAAGGTGATTGGGGTTTGCAATTACTGCAAAGAGGAAATGCCGGCTGATTCTAAGAAAAACGGGACAACTGGTTTAAAAAATCACTTAGCGAGGAGATGCAAGCTCTCTCCTCTTTATCAACGGGGTGATGAAACTCAGTCGGTCTTAAATTCAGAGACCATGGGTGGTGGTTTGTTCCCCCAAACTTTTAACCAGAAGAGAAGTGAACTCAAGTGTGTTATGTTCCTCATTAAGGATGAGATGCCTTTTAGAGTGGTTGAGGGCTCCGGGTTCAAGGACTTCATTACTGAACTTCAACCTAGTTTCAAGATACCTAATAAGAAGGAGATTGCGGCGGGAGTGTGGGATTTGTTCTTAGTGGAGAAGGCTAAGATCATGAGTCTTATAGGTGATCAAAGAGTAAGTATCACAACCGATACTTGGACATCAATTCAAAACATCAATTACATGGTAGTCACTGCCCATTTCATGGACAATGACTGGAAGTTGCATAAAAGGATCATCAATTTCACAAAGATCACTAGTCACAAGGGTGATGACATAGGGAGGTGCTTAGAGGCGTGTTTGAATAGTTGGGGGATTGACAAGGTCTTCAGCATTACAGTTGATAATGCGTCCGCAAATGATGAAGCGGTTGAGTACATGGCAAAGAGCCTCAAGTCAAAGAACACCATTATGCTTGATGGCAAGTACTTGCATATGAGGTGTGCTTGTCACATTCTTAATCTAATTGTTAAGGATGTGTTGAAGGAGCTTTATAACTCGATTGAGGGAATAAGGAATTGTGTGAAATACATTCATTCATCTCCGGAAAGGTTGGCCAAGTTTAGGGACTTTGTCTTCTTAGAGAAAAATGAGAAGATGGCAAATGTGCCCATGGATGATGCTACTAGGTGGAATGCAACTTATAAAATGCTTGATAGTGCATTGAAGTACAAGAAAGTGTTTAGTAGGATGACAGATGATAATGCTTCCTTTGTGGCGTATTTTAATGAGTATGAGAAGGATGCAAAGGAAGGACTTGTGAAGAGAGTGGGCCCTCCGGTAGAGGAGGATTGGGAGAATACACAAGCCTTGGTGCATTTTCTTAAGAAGTTTTATGATACAACTCTTAAGCTTAGTGCAACCAAAACGTGTACATCCAATCTAGTATTTACCGAAATGGTTGGGTTACAAGTTGAAATTGAGAAGAAAATGAAGGATGGTAGAGATCCTAAATTGCAAAGGGTGGCTTTTTCAATAAAGTTAAAATTTGAGAAGTTTTGGGGGAGCTTTGAGACTGTAAACAAGCTTGTCTTTGTAGCCCATGTTCTGGACCCTAGATATAAATTGCAAATGCTTAAGATCATCTTTCGAAATCTTGGAGCTGAGCCTACTAAGATAGACTTTGTTGTTAGTGAGGTTAAAAAATGTATGCTTACTTTGTATAATGAGTATAAAGGGTCTGCTAGTATTGGGAGTCTACAATTGTTTGATTTACAAGATGAGGATGCTAAGGATGAGCTTGATGGTGATGATGCTCAATCACAATTGGTAAGGGACCTTTTGCAACAAATAAAAGAGGAACAACTTGCGGACATATCCAATGAAGTAGATAAATACTTCGCCGATCCTTTTGAAAACGCTTTGAACAAAGGGTTCAAACTCTTGGATTGGTGGAAAGGGAATCAATCAAGATATCCAATCCTTTCAAAGATTGCCAAGGAAATCTTTTCAATCCCAAGTTCTACGGTTACTAGTGAGAATGCTTTTAGCTTGGGTAAGAGGATTGTGGATCCTTTTAGAAGTTCATTGACTCCTGAAATGGTAGAGGCATTAGTGTGTACTTGTGATTGGCTTAGAGCGAATGAATTTTGCTTCTACAAAGAGCCTACAGACGAGGAGCTTGAATTTTATAAGCAACTTGAAGAAATCCAAACAAGTAAGTTGAAATTTCATTTTTTTTTAAAGAGTTGATATATTCATGTTCAGTGCTTAATGTAATGATATTTCTCTGTTTTACATTTAGTTTCGTCTACTGCTCAAACATCTAAAAATCAGCCGCCTCCTCTACATTCGTCTTCTACATCATGAGCTTCAAGATTTGAACACTTTCACGGGTTGTAATAAGTTTTGTTATTTATGGATTGTAATAACTTTTGATTGCAATTCTCGCATGGAGGTGAAGTTGCTGGACTAGTATTAGAAACACTTAGCTTTTGTTGATTCAATGGAGTCTTAGGGTATGCAACTATTCCATTTTTAGAACGATAGTAAGACTTTTCAGCAGAAATGTGTAATCTGATATTTCTTGTATGAAATACAAGACCTGCCTGGAAATGAATTTGTACAGAGTGGAGCAATATGACCCCTTGCCTGAAGCAGGACAACAATGCATTTATTTGAAACCTTTGAAGATAATATTAATAGCACTCCCTTCTTTGTATCCTGAGATAGAGAGGCATGAATTGTAAAAGTAAAGCAAATGTTTTAGGATACAAATGTGGATCCTGATTGTTGTGATGTAATACTATACATCCCTTGGGAGATTAGTTACCTAATACCATACAAAGGGTATTTACTGCTTTGAGTTTAGACACACTGCCATATGTTTTAAGCTTTATTGTTTAGTAATGCAACTGTTAAGCACTTTATTTATTTATTATTGTTAAATACAGGCGCTATTGGGAGAGGGGAATCCAACCTAGTACCTCGGGTGCATGATTAATTGCTCTTAACCACTTTTTGAGTTACAACCCCTTGCATCTACTAATTGATTTTTTTTTTTCCTTGAATCCATTTGTTTACAATTGCCTGTCAAGAAAGGTTCTAGATAGTAGAAAGGAAAAACAGTAACCCAGTTGCCATTCAAACCTTACAAGAAGGAAAAATTGTAGCAAGACAAAGTAGTTCCCTGGTTCATTAGCTAACTGTACACAAGAATGAACCCCAAAATGTCAAGCACATTCATCTGCGAATGAGCTGAGAGGAAAACCTTCAGAAAATCTACTCTTCAAACGAGGAAGCGAAGCCTGCCAAACCAGTGAGTGCTGAAACATGACACAGCTAACCCAACAAACAAAAACAAAACAAAATTTGGACTGCCTTATAAATGAGAAAATGACAAAAGGTGAAGGAAGAGGCAACCATGGAAGGCTCTGAAGGCCAGATTTTACAGCCTTTATGG